CTGTATATATATATATATATATATATATATATACACACACACACACACATGTGCATATGTATGTCTATATATGTGTATATATGTGTTTATGTATATCAGTTTTGCCTAACCTTGATGCCATTATCATATTCAATACCATTTAACCGTATCATATTTAAAGTGTTAAACAATAATTCCAATAATTAATATCAGTCATTATTCAGACTACCTCAAGTGTCCCAAAATAATTTTTACAGTTGAAAGTTTAATTCAAGAACCAAACAAAATCCCACAATGTTGACTAAGTCCACTTTATTCTATATCATTCTGCCCTTCCTTTTCTTTTTTTTTTTTGCGGTACGCGGGACTCTCACTGTTGTGGCCTCTCCCGTTGCGGAGCACAGGCTCCAGACGCGCAGGCTCAGCGGCCATGGCTCACGGGCCCAGCCGCTCCGCGGCATGTGGGATCTTCCCGTACCGGGGCATGAACACCTGCATCGGCAGGCGGACTCTCAACCACTGCGCCACCAGAGAAGCCCTCTGCCCTTCCATTTTCCCTTCCATGATTTGTTGGGGAAACCTGGTCATTCATCCTACAGAATGTCCCACATTCTGGACTTGGCTGATTGCTTCCAAAGGGTGTCATTGTTCCTCTATCCCTTGTATTTCCACAAACTACTAGTTAGATCTAAAGTCTTGATTAGAGTCAGATTAAATTTGTTTTTTTAAAATGTACCATAAGTAGTACCGTGTGCTTCCTGTAGGATCATACAACGGGTAAATACTAAGATGGATCACAAGTTCAAGTGGTGCGAGCATGATCCCTATATTATGAAATTCCCTATCTACCCTTCACCTAATGGTTTTAGTATACATTGTAATTGTTACCTAGATCCATGATATCACTAGGGGTTGAAAAATCACACTTTCTAATTCTATCACTTCTTCTGTATTTTTTTAAGCTGGAATTCTTCACAAAGAACTTTCTCTCCTCAATAATGCAGTTACTCGGACATAAAGCTTATAATTATGATAGATGTTTGATTCTTTGCTAGTTAAAGAGCTGGTGTCATAGCAACCTCCCATGGTGACAAATGAGTTGGGGTCTGTTTGTTCATTGGTTTATTTGCTTGTTTAGGTATGAGAGCAAAAGGTTAATAAAACTTTTTCCAACTTCCTGAGAATCTGAGCTTTGGCTTTTACCTGAAAACTTCAGAAGGACAAGAACATCAAATGTCATAAAAAATGAAACCTGATTGGTAAATTACATCTGGATGAGAGGACCTGTAAATGAACCATAAATCCCTAACAGGGAAGCAGACACTGTGCTTTGAACTTTCCCGAGTGAGGTCATTCTTGGACCTGGGCATGTCCCTTGTGGAAACGCTGGAAGCCATGCCCGCGAGTTATTACAAAAGATGCTGGCAACTCTGGGGTATGAAGCGTTTAAGCCAGGAATGCTCCCATAGCTGCCTGATGTAGACTGAATCTCCTTGCACTAGAGCTGTGTGACTTGGGGAGAAAATACCTCCTGGACAGCTATCGGTTGCAGTGTGACCTGAGGCAAGGGCACCCACAGAAGACTGTCTAATGCTGCCCTCACAGTGGACACGTACTCTGTGTTCCTGCCCTCGAGCTACACAGAAGGGGTCAAGTGTGGCCTATGGGAGTCTGAAGAGTGCAAATGTTGAGCTGAATCTAGGAAGACCCCATGCCTCTGCGTAGAATCACTATGAAATTGTATATATTTGGTGGGTTTCAATCGACTACAGCCATTATTCTTTTTAATGCTCAAATTTTACCATCTTAGATCAAAATGTCTCCCGTGTCCTTTAGACCAAATTAATATAGTTTTAAACAACAGCTCGTTCATTTCATTCTTTCATTTCCTCAACGGGTACTTACTGAACATGGCATGTGTGGAGAGTGTTTGCAGGTTACAAAGCAAGGAAAAAGCAAAGAGATGCCTTCAGGTGGTGTGTGCATGGTTAAATATCCAAGGAACCAAACAAACCATGTTCCACAGTCTCAGAAAAGAATTACTTCTCTACTGGGACAGACAAAATAGATTTCACACCTTTAATGAAGCTTTTTGTGGTAGGCAAAATAATGCCCCCGGCAAAGATGTTCATGTCCTAATCCCCAGAGGCTGTGAATCTGTTAGGTGACATGGTAAAGGAGAAATAAGGTTGCAGATGGAACTAAGGCTGCTCATCAACCCACCTTACACCAGAGATTGATAACAAGGTCTTTAAAAGTGGAAGAGGGAGGTAGAAGAGGAATGGGAATCAGAGGGAGATTCGATGAAGGAAGCGGGGGTAGGGGGGTAGGAGTGACGGAATCATCAGCTTTGAAGATGGAGGAAGGGGTCACGAGCCTCGGAATGTAGGCAGCTTCAGGAGGATGGGTAAGGCAACGAAATGGATTCTCCCCTACAGTTGACATCTTGAGTTTTCCTAGCGAGGCCCATGTTGGACTTCGATGTCCAGAACTGTA